GAGGCTGACGGTAAGGCCTCTCTCCAGCCTCCCCCTTGAGCTTCCTGGAGGGGCTCTCTGGCCTTGCAGCCAAAGCGAGCAGATGTGAAAAGTGCTCTCAGCATCACCACCGCCCTTAGTCCCTCCTGGATTCTGAAATTGATTTCCTGGTTCACAGATGGCAACATGCCATTTTGAAAGCTGGAATTCTAGATACTGAGAAGTTGCTTCTCTTGAAACTTTGAGACCAAAACTCAGTAAACTTTCTGTCAAGTGCCAGGTGGTGAATACGTTAAGGTTTACAGGCCACACAGTTTCTGCCACAACTCTCTGCCAGTGTAGCAGGAAAGCAACCAGAGAGGATGCATGGATGAATGCATGTGGCCATGTTCCAATAAAACTTTATTTACAAAAACAGATGGCGAACCAGATTTGGCTGTGGGCTGTGATTAGCTGATTCTTGCCTGAGACAAATCACAAGGCTCCAGAAATCTCTGGAAGAGTTGAGATCAATGCTTGTGGAAACAAACAAACAAAAAAAATCCACCATCAGGTACAGACCAAATGTGACTACTAATTTTGGTGTGCATGTGCATGTGTGAAAAATACCAAATCTCCAAATTATTTTTCAAAGTAAGTGGGGCCAGAACTGGCTCACTTATACAAACTTAGAATGTATGCCTCAGGCCCATAAACACAGACACGTACAAATTCCAGCCCTTCCTCTCCTTGGTGGAGTGACCTTGAGAAAGGTACTTAGCCCCTCAGAGCCCACATTTCCTGATTGGGACAGTAGGCCAGTGTAGGGCAGTGGTTAAGAGCAAGGAATCAGGAGTCAGAGGACTCTGAGTTCAGTCCCCGTGCAGCCACTTGCTAACTGGATGACCTTGAACAACTAATGTGTCTGTACCTTAGACCCCTCACCTATACGATGCAAGTTGCAAGGATAAAATAGGACAATATATGTAGAGCACTTTGCAGAGTGCCTACAAAGTGCTAAGCATTTAATAACTATGTGCCATTATTATTCAATAAAATTGGTAATGCATTTAGCAGAGTTCCTAGTGCATAGTAACCATCAGTGAATATTCTTTCCCTTTTTCTGGAGGTGGGAACAGGGCTCAAGGAGTTTCTGGATGTCTACAAGGATCCCCCACGTTGGGAAGGTTGGAATGAACCTTATTGTTGACAGGGAAGAGCACAGAAGATTCCCCAGGACTATACTCTTAAAATATGTGTGTGAAAAAATGAGAACTTACCTATAGAATGTCATATGTCAGATTTTATTGCTAAGGTGATAGGTATTTCTAAAAACCATGTTGCAAGGGGTGCCGGGAAATAGGGTGGAGTTGACCCAGAGGTACAGGCAGGCAGGTGAAGTCTAGAGACGGGGTCCAGTCCAGCTTGCAGCCCAACCTGGTCACCAGGAGCTGGACGAGCAGGGGGCAGACCCTGGGCATTGCCACCACCACCTCTTCATTGTCACAGAACCATGCTAGCATGCCTTTATCTTACCTTTTTCCCCCTTTCTGGACCTCACTTCCTGCCTCAACCCAGCTGTTGCCCCATTTTTCTGGAAGGCTCTTCAGCAAAACTCCTTAAGAGCTTTGTCTCTCCTAAGTCTCTGTAGTCATGCTCTCTCTCCTCTCCCCTTCCACCGTGACCGCTCTCATCAAAGGCCGCCAACGGCCTCCATGTTGCTGAATCAGACCAGTGTTCAAACCCCATTGTCCTTGACCTCGCACCCTTGAGGCTTCCTCCACTTGGCTCTCTGGACCCACCACCGTGGTCCCCCCCTGACCCGGGGGCTGATCCTCTTGGTCTCCTTTGAGGGTCCCTACACCCTTCCTGTCCTCTTCAAGCCAGCGCGCCCCAGGGCACCGACCCTGTGCATACACTCTTTTGAACCTAAGCTCACTTGCTTTGATAATCCTGGTCACGCTTATACTTTTAAATATCATTTATTTACAGATTTATGTCTCTGACCAATTTGTTGTTAGGAGACCTAACATCTTGAATCTAAAGTCATATCTCATCATCTGCTCAACATCTCCGTGTGCACGTCTAGTGGGCATCTCGAATTTCATCTCCAAACCGAGCTCCTTGATCTCGCCCTAGAGGCACTCCCCTCCCCCACTCCCCAGCAACACACACACCTCAAACCTGCCCATTTCAGGCAATGGCAACTTGATTAGAGCCAAGTGGAGGAAGCCTCAAGGACTACGGGGTCAAGGACAATGGGGTTGGAGCGCTGGTCTGATTCAGCACCATGGAGGCCGTTGGTGGCCTTGACAAGAACAGTGATGGTGGAAGGGGAGGGGACAAAAAGCCTTGGTGTCATCCCGGCTCTTCTTTTGGTCTAACACCACACGTCCAGTCCAGGAGCCGGCCCTGTTGGGTCTACCTTTGGAATACATCCAGAATCTGACCGCTTCTCACCACCTCTGCTGTCAGCGCACTGGTTCAAGCCACCATCCTCTCTCCCAATGGTTATTTTAGTAGCTTGCTAACTGGTATCCCTGTGATAGCTTTGTCCCTGTCGTCTCTTCTCAACACAATGGCGGGAGAGAGGCTGTTAGCATCTACGTTAGATTAGGTCACTCCTCTGCTTGAAATCTTCCAGTGCTTCCCCGACTCACTCAGAGTAAAAGCCCAAATCCTCCCACAGCCTGTGAGATCCTGCGCCTCTTGGCTTCCTGCTGCGGGACTTCCTCCCCTGCCCTCCCTTTGTGCTGCCAGAGCCTTCGCTCTGGTCCTGGCCCACCAGCCTCCCTGCAGCCCCCACACATGCCAAGCTTGTCGCTTTTGCTAGCACTCTGTCCAGAGTGCTCTTCTCCTAGGTGCCTGGCTGGCTCCCTCACCGCCTTCATGTCTTTGTCCAGATATGAGCCTCTCACCAAGGTTTTCCTGATGATGGTTTTGTTTTTGTTTTTTTTTAATTCTCACCTGAGACATTTTTTTCTTCTCTTTTAGAGAGAGAGGAAGGGAGAGAGAGAGAGAAACATCAGTGTGAGACAGAAACATTGATTGGTTGCCTCTCGTACACACCCCGACCGGGGGATCAACTTTGCAACCTAGGTATGTGCCCTGCCCTGGAATCAAACCCACAGCCTTTCGGTGTACAGGGCGGTGCTCCAGTTAAGCGGCTCCAGCCAGGGCCCCTGATGATCCTATTTGAAATTGCATTCTTGCCTACCCTACATTCAGTATGCTCCTTCTGAGACGTATTTTTCTCCCTAACACCCATTAGTTTATATTCTATTGTATAATTTACTTATTATATTTCTTGTCTGTCTCTCCTACCATCACCATGAGAATATAAACCCCATGAAGGCAGGAATTTGTTTTGTTTACTGCTTTACCCCCAATGCCTAGAACTATGCCTTTCACATGATAGCTGCTCAGTAAGTATCTGGATAGATGGATGGATGGATGGATGATGGTTCATGTTAATGAGGTGACTTTTGCAAAGCACCTAAGGATGGGAGCTACTTGCCAGGGGAACTAACCATGTGATTAGGGTTGGAATTTGTTTCCCACCCCCTTACCTCCAGGAGGGGAGAGGGGCTGGAGGTTGAATCAACTGTCAATGGCCAATGAGTTCATCAACCATGCCTGCGTAATGAAGCATCCATAAAACCCTAAAAGGATGGGGTTCAGAGAGCTTCCATGTTGGGGATCCAGAACACTGGTATGTGCCACTGTGCCAGGCCCCCAGCTCCACAGGGACCAAGCTCCTTTGTTCAGGACCTTACCCTATGTATCTCTTAATCCGGCTATTGATTTGTATCAATTAATATCCTTTGTAATCAACTGGTAATGTAGTGAGTAAATGGTTTTCCTGAGTTCTGTGAGCCATTCTAGCAAATGAATCAAATCCAAGGAGGAGGGTGTGGGAACCTCTGCTTTGTAGTCAGTTGGTCAGAAGCACAGGTGACAACCCTGACTTGCAATGGTGTCTGAAGCGGGGGGTGGTCTTGTGGGATGGGGCGTTAACCTGTGGGATTTCTGGGTAGATAGTGTCTGAGTGGCAGTGAATTCTCAGACACCCTGTTGGTGTGGGAAATCCTACACTCCTACAAATGCATGTGCGTGAGCACATGCAAGCACGTACAACATGCGCACATACATGCATGCATGTTGGGATTGAGTGCAGGAGCCCAAACGACTAGGCTTCCTTGGTTGTCAACCATCGCTAACATCGTGGGAATGGTCTCTCAGGAAAACACACTCATTTTTTACTCTGTGGTTTCATTCAGTGATGAGGAAACTATTGATTCCAGTGATTTAAGAAGTAAATTAAGCCTTGGCCAGTGTGGCTCCATGGATTGGGTGTTGTTCCACAAAGCAAAGGGTTGCTGGTTTGATCCCTCGTCAGGGCACATGCCTGGGTTGCAGGTGTGGCCCCCAGGGGGAGTGTGCACAGGGGCAGCCGATTGATGTTTCTCTCCCTCTGTCTCCCTCTCCCTTCCCCTCTCTGGAATCAATAAAACTTTTTTAAAGAAGTAAATGAAGACCAGCAGACTATAAGTTGGTCCTTATTTATTTATTATTTTTTATCCTCACCCGAGGACATTTTTTCATTGCTTTTAGAGACAGGGGAAGGGAGAGAGGAAGGGAGAGAGAGAAGCGTCGACTGGTTGTCTTCTGTACATGCCCAGACCAGGGATCTTATGTACCCTGACTGGGGACGGAACCTGCAACCTTTTGGTTACAGGACAATATTCCAATCAAGCCAACACCGGCCAGGGCAAGTTGGTCCTCTTTAAAAAGAAAAACATTCATTGTTTTTTTCTTAAGAAATAAAAAAAGGTTTTATTTATTTATTTGTTTGTTTCGGAGAGGGGAAGGGAGGAAGAAAGAGAAACATCGATGTGTGGTTGCCTCTCTAGCACCCCCTACTGGGGACCTGGCCTGCAACCCAGGCCTGTGCCCTCCACTGGGAATCAAACTGGCGACCCTTTGGTTCACAGGCCGGCACTCAATCCACTGAGACACACCAGCCAGGGCAAAAATGCTTTAATTTTGATGTAAATATTTATTATGTATTCTTTCCATTTTATAAAACAGTAACTCACATAAGAGAAAACTTGAAAAGTACAGAAAGGCAGAAAGAAGAAAGTAAAAGTAACCAAAATTCCCTCTACGTAAAGATAGCCGCAGTGTGACCTTGCTGTCGTTCCTTGTAGGTTTGCCTATGCGCACGCGTGTGTCTTTCCACACACAGGTTTGAGAGGTGTTTCACCTCGTTAGGTAAAAGGTGAGAAGGCGTATATACAATTTTCTTTCTGCTTTTCTCATTTAACTTGATAAAACAGCATTTTCCATGTTAATCCAACTGCTGGCTCTCGTGAACTTCATTGTGATAGCTCTTAAGAGGATGAATAGTTTGTATTTAACCAGACTCCTAGTGTTGGACCATTTTCATGGTGCCCCATTTTTCAGTTACACATTCCGCTGCTATAAAGGGATCACTTTCTCTCAGTATCTCCGCTTGGGGAGCAGACTCCCTGACAAAGACTCCGCGTGGGGCGGCTGCCAGGGCAGATGGGGTGGGGACTGCGTGGGAAGGGGAGCAGAGCATCGTTTACTGTAAAGTATAGGGGTTTCTCCCATTTAATTATAATTGTACTATGTAATTATATCCAGTTAGGAAAATACACATATTCTAAATGTGTCTCAGCTCCAATTGAAACTGACGTGAGTATTTAGGGTTCGGTGGAGACAGCCTGACCAGCTAGGGCAAAAAGGAAGAGAAGGCGGTCACTTCCACAGCAGAACTAGGACCCCACGGCAGGTTTGCCTGGGCTCCCGGCTCCCGCAGGGCTGAGCAAGGCGGCGCTCTCACCTGCTGGTCTGGCTCTCAGCGGCGCCGATGCACCGTAACCCTTGTGCTTGGAAGAACTTAATGAATGGCCCCTCTGGCTGGAAATGCACAGAGGCAGAGTGCGGAGGCACCGGTGAGATGGCTGGCGCGGACTCGAGCCCAGAATGAACGTTCACAGAGCAGAAACGGAAGACACCAGCTTCTCTCACCATGTGGGGCTCTCCCCCCTCCCCCCACAGCCCCTGTCCTCAGCTGTAAGTGCACCTGTTAGAGGCTCCCACAGAGCCCTGTCTTCCTCATGCCATTTACCTCTCCTCCTCATTAATGGCTTATCTGGGGTCTGTCCCCAAGTACCATTAGGGCAGAGACTGACTTTTCTCAGTGGGTCTTCTGTGCCCTGCAGACACCTGGTCTAAGCTTATGCTCCAAGGTAGGCAAGGAAGAGGTGAGCCAGACCCTTTAGAGCAGGAATCTTAGTGTCCCACAGTTTACACCCCGCAACCTGCTCCTGGTTATTACGAAGTTACAGAGTGAACCCTACGGGTAAAAGCATATTGATAGAGCGGAACAGGGAGAAAGCCCATGCACCCTAAAGGGTGGTTCCCAAACTCGGCCACACAGCAGAATTACTAGGAGATGCTTTAAAACTTCCAAAGTCCAAGACGCACCCCTGACCAATCAGGTCCCCATCCTTGGGGTAGGACCTGCCCACTCATCAGTGTGCTTTAAAGTTTCCCAGGTGATTTCAACATGCAGACCAGGTAGGGACCACTTCCTTAATCCTTGGCCCCTGCCACAGGCCTCGCTTAATTAAAATAGGTCAAACAAATAGACAAATGAATGAGCGCATGAATTTGTGAGCCTCGGTCTTCTGTGTCTCTTTCCGGGGACTCAGGCAGTGGCCTTGCTACCCAGTCCCATCCCACCCTCTCTGAAGATTTAAAGAGGAACTTTGACATTCTGCTTCATTTTCCTGGTGGAAGATTTCATTTCATTTTTTTTTACAAATAGATAATAGTATGAATGTCTCTGAATAAGAGAGTCTAGAAAGACAAACTCGTTGTCAAATACAAGATCTTTCCCAACTCATTTGAAATATCACCTTTAGGATGAAACCCAGCCCATATCTACGGCACACCTGCTATGTGCCCAGCACTGCCAGACACTGGGCACGCGTCCTGCCTGCACAAAGGGTGCCCCCTGTACGCGAAGACAGCGAGCACCTAGCCACCACACGCGTGATTTCCGAAATGTCTGGTCAGCGCTTTGGGAGGAAAGCACAGGAGGCTGGCGGTAACACGGGGACCTGACTGAAGTGAGGGGTATGGGAAAGGCCTCCCTGAGAGAGGGCAGCTGTGATTATGTATCTGCCTGTGTGCCTACCTGTTCAGCAGCCCCCTGGCCCCGACCACTCCAGCAGCCCTGCCCTCCTTCCTACCTCCTGGTTCTGTGACAGGCCCGTCTCCTGCCTCAGGATGGCCTGCCTGTAGCACCTGGACAGCTGGCTCAGCTCCTGCTCCAGCTCCTGGGCGTGCGTCCTCAGTTCCTCAGCCATCTCCGTCCTCGCGCCCGCCCCCAGGTGCTGCCAGTCCCGTAGGACGCTCCTCACATCTTGCATGAGTAAGAAGCCGGCCCCAGCTACACTCATCATCCGGGCACCGCGGGTCATGGCCAGAGCGGAGCCCTGGCCCACGGCGCTCTGCACCCCTGTTGCCCTCAAGAAGGGCACACGGCGTGTAGTCACGAAGTTCCTGACCCTCGCCATGAAGCCGGGGTTGGTTTGGGCCCTCTGGTAGGCGCGAAGTTGCCTGATTTTCTGAAGGACTTTATAGCACTTCTCAACACAATCCACTGCAGCTGCAGCTGGAGAAAAAGTGTTTTCTCCACTAGCTTCTGCCTCTGGTGTTATTGGAAAAGCCACCAGTCTGCTGGCCCTAGCTCTTGCTGCTGAACTGCTCCTATTTTCTAAGATGCTGGTCACAATGTTGGTGACAAAAGCTGCTGTCCCCAGGCCCTGCCCAGCAGCTGAGAGTAACAGACTCCCTCCTGTTGTCAAAGGTGACAGGGTCACACCCAGGATGGTCATGACCGCGGACACAGCACTTGCAGAGCTGGCTACGAGGTTGGTCTGGGTGAGCGTCTTATGAGTTGAGTCAACTTCATCTGCGATGGTATAAAGTTGTTTGATAGTCTTTTCCAGTTTATGCTTCCGCAAGGGGAAACCTAAGAGAAACATTCTTTCCTCCAGTGACAGATTTCCACATGGCCCGTACCCTTCTTCGCGGCGCATCAACTCTTGTACCAGGATATAGTGCAGCACACTGTCTTCATCACTGTGGAGAGACCGCAGCATACGATTATTTTCCCAGCGCCAGGACGGGTTCGCCAGGGAGGCTAAAGGCTTCTTGGTCATCTGAGTTCTCTAACACGCTCAGGGAGCAGAGCACCAGGAGCGAGTGCAGGAAGAGCGCGGTCCGTGCCCTTCCTCTGCATGTCAAGACTGGCTCGCCAGGTGGTCACTGATGTGGTGCATAAAACACTAGTGAAAAGCATTGCTGACTTTTGTCACCAAATCTTTTTTTTTTTTGGTTTATTTTTTAGTGTATTTTTTCCATTATCATTTATCCCCCATCTACCCTCGCCCACCTCCACCTCCGCCCTGGCCCAAATAACCACACTGTTGTCCGTGGCCATGAGTCCTTTTTCTTTTTTGCTTTTTTGCTTGGCACCAAATCTTTTCTTCATAAATATATCTATGTGCATGCATACATAATGTATACGTCTGCAACAGCGTGGGCGCTTCTGTCCTGGGAAATAGAGTACTCTGAGCCTACAGAGTCTATGTCTCGATTTTATTTTTTTTAATGTTTAAAGGGGATCTACCTGGATATCGTGGTTGCTTCCAGGGAGGGGAGCCAGGGAGCTGGGGACAAACCTTGGGGGAGCATTACTTTTTACTGCTTGCTTGCCCTTTTGTTCCTTTTCAGTTTTGTATCACGTGCATGTATTAGACAGGTTCCAAAAAATTTTTGTAAAATACCCGACACTTCTAAAGGAAAAGGTAGGGGCGCCTCAGTGCGACACCCAACTATCACCTCTCACATAGGGAGAGCTCCTCATTGGTGATTCACCCTGACACTGTTATGTCTTTTGGAAACTGAAAGTCGATTTCTAACAAAGGGGTGGTTGTGCTTAGAAACTGCGGGTTCTACTCTGTTCACATGTTAACAGGCCAGTAGGAGAAGTGCCTGTCTTTTAAGGAAAAGTGAGGAAGAAGAAAAAATGTACAGTTGAGGAAATTCTCTCCATTTAACTGAAATTTCTCCTGTCTTTTGGGAGGGAAGACCGCCATTATTTAATATTCCTGGGGAATCCCTTTTGGTCCAGCCCCTGGAACACCAGAGGTCTGCAGGGTCTTTGTTTGTGGATCACTGTTTTATGTAACTTTGTCTTGAAGGATCTGGGGCTTATAAGTGGACACCACTGGACCGTGCAGGGTGCTGTAGTCCATGTCCTGTGACACGTGAGAGTCTGACTTGAGTGACATGATGCTCAGGTTCACTCCTGTCTCCCTTCACATTGCGCTCCTACAATGGGCGGGGCATGGGTTTAAGGCTACTGGAGAGTGTGTCTGCGGGAAAGAAGGCAGGGCTCATAGAAAAAGTCCTCTGAGACCAAGCAGCCCCAAGGCCCCAAAGGAACTGCTGACAATGGCTATAGAGCCCCCTGTGCCCCGGGCAAGGCCATCAGCAGCCTCAGGCAGACCCGCCAATTGACCCCCTCCGCAGGGAAGCAGAAGGGGACTTCTGACATCCTTCCCCATCAAGTCACTCTAATTAAAAAAAAAAAAAAAAAAAAGGCTCAGTCAGAGTTCTCTTGGGGCTGTCTCTGTACACCTAGGAGTTCAGCTCCGCTGCAAGCTCAACCTTAGGCAGAGCTGTGGGATGTTAGACCCAGAAGCTCACCAAGATTGTCTGGTACACAGAGGGCAAAGAGGTGCCAGCTCCCCTGCCATTGTTGGTAAAAAGGTGTCTAGACCACTGTGCTGAGAAGAATTGTGAGGCTGCATCCAGGATCTCTGAGAAAGAACACTAGAACTGACCTGCGATGCTTTCCAGCACCAAGGAGAATGGCGAGCTGCCCTGTGTTCACCATGAGTGAGGCCGACCCCCTCTTTCACAGAGGAGAAAGCTGGCCCCAAGGACGGGGTGATTTACAATCCTAGATTACAGCCCCGTTGGTGGTGGAATTAGAGAGAGGGTGCGGACCCTGAGAAAAAAGGTACCTTCTAAGACGGATGGGCTCCTGGGGGTTAACTGGACACAAACAACAAACAAACGAAAGAAGCCTAGCCGCCATGTCTATACATGGCCTCTCATGCAAATCGCACTTCAGGGAGAAGCCTGCACTGTGTTTCTGCCCTATGAGCCAGTCCTTATAAAGGACAGTCCTATTTCAACCATTAGCACTGAGGCTTTCCCCTACCCAGTTGGATCTCTGCATCTCCGACCAATCAGAGCAGCTCTTTTATGACCAATCAGGGCAGTGCCTTTTGGACCAATCAGACTGCAAGTATTTGGAGTTCTCATTTGCATGAAAACAGACCAGTTAGGGACCAGGGTAGGAACATCTGTTTATATGAGTCAGCTCCCCTCTGGCTCAGAGTGTGCAATTTTCCCTTTCCACCAGTTTTTTTCCTGGCAGAGCTGAAACACTGATCTTGCCACAGAACGAAGACCAGAGCAGCGCAGAGCAGACTTGCGCAGAGCAGAGCAGAGCTGTCCAGCCAGAGAAGGGCCTGCCCCAGGGCTGCCCCACCGCGGGGCTGTATCACAATTGAGCTGTTTGCACTGCACGAAGTTTCTTCCTTCAATGCACCTCAGACTGGGGATTCCTGTTGGCGCTGCATTGGCACCAACAACCATCGGTTGACAGAACTTAGAACTCCAGGTTTCCAGAATCCTCTAGGCTGCCTCACCACCACTGAGAAAGGAAGCATTATCTCTCTGCCTGCCCCAGAGGAGGGAACAGAAACGTGTGCACATGGCTTATTGGAAGCGACCCGATTTGGTCCAAGTCGGTTTATCAGCCAGCAGCAAATGGGAAGGATGTTGTTTTGAGTTGTCTTGGAGTTAATGAGAGCTGTGGGGAGGAATAGGTAACACTGGAGTGAGGCTGGGCCAAGGACATGGTTACGTGGAATGGCTTGTTTCTGTCCTGAAAGGGCAGGAAACTCTGGTTTGCATTACTAAAGCAGATTTCATCATTTAAGAGCCTGGGCTAGCACTGCACCTCATTTTACAGAAACTTCTAGACACTTCAGCAAGAGTAAGTACAGTCTATGTCAGGCAGCAGAATCTGTTCTGAGTAGAGCACCTCAGCCGAGCTCTCCTGGAGAGCCTGGGTGGCCAAGCGAAGACTGTGGAAAGGCAAGTCCCAGGTATTTGGATCTCAAGGGCGAGGGCGGAGAAAGGCCTGGGAAGGAGAGCTGGGGACGTGGGCCAGGGGGTTGTTGACTAGAGCACATTCTGCTAAGAATCCATCACCCAACAGATTGGGTGTCTGGGCACCTTTGCATGTGCTTACCAAAGGTTTTTAATTTGCTTTGCTAAGAGGTATAAATTCTCTTTTATTTTCTTGTGCACATCTCCAATTGCCAGTGGAGGCAAATGTGACAGCATGGTCGACCCTTCAGCCAGCTCCGTGAGAGCACGTAGGTTTCCTACAATGAAGATGGTGCTTGCACAGAACTTAATTGGAATAGCAACAATCAGGCTTTCTTCCTTCATTCCTACACTGAGTGCCAGGTCTGTGACAGGTGCCATGCTGGATGCTAGACGTAGGGCGATGAGCACCTCAGCCCAAATCCCTGCCCTCGCAGAACTCTCATTCTGGTGAGTCCCCCCAGACAGCCCTTCTCGGGGGTTACCTGTCCAGACCGAGTCTCTCTAGCACCGTCTCCAAAGCCTGCGGGTTACTGAGGAGCCAGCGCATCTCCTCTCTCGTCAGCTTGTCCAGAAGTTCAATGATGCTCCGGGGAAGCATGTTGGCTGTTACAATATTTGGGAATAAAACAGGCAAGGTGAGAATACCTGAAAAACCCTAATGTGTCAAAAAGTGCATGTCATTTCTGCCTAATGGTTTTAACCAAACAATTAAACTGTGATAATGAATACCCCAGTGCTAACTATGCTGTAGCCAAACTGGTCATTTCTTACGTTTCTGATAGCAAAGTAGATTGGCGAAGGGCTTTGGAAATGTTGATGTAATATATTTAGTCACAAGAATCTTCTTATAATCATCCAATAATCCAACAAGAGGCACACAGATGATCAGGGCCGCTTTATTAATAATACTGTAAACTCGAAAGCAGGTGAGCGAGCACTCTGCTCAGCCCACTACCACCTGTAATCCCGACAGGATTGTCCGTCTCTGCTCAAGTCTTCCTGGGGATGAGGAATTCATTGGCTGGTTAGTTGTTTGTTTAACCAGGTAAGGGACAGATAGTGGGATATGCCATCACAAAAATGTCACTTTGATATATTCATTATTGGGAGCCGTAGGCACTTGAAAAACAGCAACGCGGGGAGGGTTTCCTTGAACTGCCCTTCATCTGCCTACAAACAGATCCTCCAAAAGGCACTCAGTTCTCATAGGGCCTCTTCCTGGGGTTTCATCGAGCAGGGAAAACTGGCTCTTGTCACAGGAGAGGAGACTAGAAGTTGACATCACACCCAGACAAATTCTGTCACAAATGATCACACCTCCCCTCTATTCTTCCAAGGGTCCACTCATCTTTCCTAAAAAAGTTTACTCCCCACTAAGAAGCCGACTACATCCCCTCCCCTTCTTCTATTAAATGGCATTTAAGACTGAATTCTAAGCCATCTTGGGTAGTTACTCATTTTTCCCCAAGTCTCTCCCATTCGTACGTGAGGAATACAGGTTAATGAACTTTTCTTTTTCTCTGATTAATCTGTCTTTCATTGCAAAGGTCTCAGATAAGAATTCAGAAGGGTAGAGGGAAAATTATTTTTCCGCCCCTACATAGTTAATGCTGCATAGCTACCCTTGCTTAGAGATTTTTGTTGCTTAAAAAATCACTTTAAATATATTTTCAACACAATTGGACAAAATCACCCCTAATACTGTCAATTTGATTCATTTACTTCAAGTTATTTTTCAAATGCATATTCTTTTTCACATGGCTTTTATAACATACTGTACCTGTGTCTATTGTTTTTAAAATATAATATTGCAGGATGAGTATTTTCCATATTGCAGCATGGTTATCATAGGATTATTTCTGATGAATGTGACTCCATTGAGAGGGCAGCTGCCTTCATGTTGATAGAAATATTGCCTTCCTGTGACACACTGAGGTCTTCATGTTTGTGTCGCCTGTGTGAGTCCTTCATATAATGGACTGACCCTGTCCTGGCTGCTGTCCCCACTCTGGCCAGTGACTGGCTACTTGTGGCTCTGCAGGCAGGGCCTGCGGTGCTGCTTATACTTCCAGTTACACTTGAGGAAGGAAGCTATTGCTCTTACAGTATTGACAAATGTGTGCCTCTGGATACGTCCTGATTAGAGACCAGGTCTGCTGTGTTCCCACCTGGCGATACGACATGGCTTCTCAGGGGTTCCATGTTTTCTTTTCCTTTTAAGTGAGATTTGTTGCTTCTCCATATTTCATGCTAACGTTATTTCCTGCTACCTTTTACTATTGCGTTTTCCAATTTGTTTACTCTATAGAAATAGCATTCATTTTTGACACTCCTCTGCTTCACTGCATTTTTACTAATTGCAATAGTGATTGAATGAATAACTCATAAATACATAATGCTCGTTTTCCTTCTTATTTTTTCAATACTTATTTCTCTTATTGGGGCCCCATGCCTTCCTAGGTTAGCTTGAGTGCTTAAACTACTTAATTGTATGAAATTGAGTCCAGTATTTCACCGTTGCCATTTGCTTTACAAAAAACCACTCTTTCTCATAAGGCAGTATGTGTTATTCCTATATTGACATATTTTTTATTAGGATTAGGGGCTGAATTTTCAGACTTTAATGAGATTATCATAATTCCCCCCCTTTTTTTAATCCCACAAGTACGGTGTATTATGTTAATACATTTCCCTATATTGAATTATTCTTATATTCCATGAAAGCCACACTTGATTATTGCAGATTTTTGTATCAGTATGTTACAGATTTATATGCTCTAGTATTATATTTGTATGTTCATCTTAGAGTCATAAAGGATATTGAGCTACAATTATATCCTTGACTATAAGGATATAATCAAGATGTATTATTAGTGTTAGATTTGCTTCATAGAACATAGGTAATAACATATTTCTGTTTCTGGAACAATTTATGACATGAAAAATATTTGTTTTCTGAAAGTTTAAAAGAACTTGCAGATTTCTTTGTTTGCACACATCTTCACAGGATGCTTCCTTATCTACATTGTGCCTGGTGACACATTAGAACTAAGGCTCAGAGTTTATGATACTAAGTTCTTTATGTCTAAAATCATAGCTGACTGTCTCCCCTGCCCCGGCCTAGAGTAGACATCGGGAGGATGACTCTGTCTGGGAGAGGAGTGGGAGGGGGGGTCAACAGGGGAGGGCTCGGCAAAGCAGAGTGAAATCACGTGCGCGCGCTGGGCTGGGTCTCCCTGACTCAGGGTCATGGTGTCCTTCCAGGTTTAGTAAAGACTCTCTGAGCCTTTTGTGATGTTTCTACCTAGGATTAGAGGTAAAATAGAACGCTGGCTTCTGTTTCATCACTTTCCGAGCTAGTCTCAGGAATCATCCTGTTTTATGTCTCATCACATTTCCGTATTTAAAAGCATGTCTTCTGCTGGGAAAGCTCAGATCATCCCGCCGTCTGGAGGAAGGAAGGCCCGTCCTCCGGCCTCACCTTGCCTCGCTCCTCCCACAGACGGCATCGCCCTTCTCTGATTGGTTGAGATCCCCTGCTCCTGAGGGGGCTTTTGCTACAGGCTGGTCCACCTCAGCCCAAGGACTGCACAGCGATGCTTGCAACTCTCTCCCCTCTGTCCTCTCTGCCCCCGTGAGGAGGGATGAGGTGGCCCCAGCTTGGCCACCTTGCCACGCGCCCATCTCTTGCTTGGGCCCTCGGCTCGTCAGCGAGAGGCCCGTTTCCTCAGATGCGGGTTTGGGCTTAGAGGGAGAAAGAGGCTCTCTTGAATTGAATCACATAAGTTGTCCTGCTTTCCCATTGCCATTGTCTCTGTCAAGGACGCTGAGTGAGGAGGTTTGGCTGGACCAAGGTCAAGGTCAGGGACTTCCAGGGCCCCTGACTGAACAACCAGATGATGGCCTCCAAAATGACCACAAAAGCCTGCCAGGTGAGAGCCGCAGGGACCAGAAGGGGTAACACAGATGCTGTATCTGATATGATTATATAATGATTTAGGGCTCATAAAACATGGTCTCTGTAACTAAGGGAGGCCCAGCTTATGCCTCTAGTTGTAGGGGGAGTATGAGCAGGGTCTCATGGGAAATAGGGCTGGAGTGGGACCTTAGACTCTCACCCCCACGGCAGGAACTGGGATCAGCCACATACAGGACCTCGAGTCACTTCCCAATCTCCACCTGTTATAGGTCGAGATGGTGAACCGGGGTCAAAAGGCTTTGCCAAGGAAAGGGGAGTGTTACCTGCGGAGATTCCAGCTGGAGCCGCGACTATGGTGCCTCTCAGGGCTCCTTGGTGCTTCTCTCTCTACAGGTGACGGTGGGGTCTGGGCCAGGAGAGGTGGAGCTTTGTCTTGTAAAGAAAAGATGCCAGAGTCATTCAGAAAGCAGTGGCTTCATACAGAGCTGGGATCTAGTGACTCAGACGAGGGAACGCACGAACAGGTAAAGTCCAGGGAAGGCAGCCAGCTCAGGGGGACAGGAGCTAAGGGGGGAACCCTGGGAAGTGCCAATATTGCAGAGGGAGTGAGGAATAAAAGGAAGCCTATAGCCCTGGCTGGTGTGGCTCAGTGGACTGAGTGCCAGCCTGAGAACAAGAGGGTCACGGGTTCAATTCCCAGTCAGGGCACATGTCTGGGTTGTGGACCAGGTCCCCAGGAGGGGGCGCTCAAAAGGCAACTACACATTGAAAAAGAAAAAAAAAAGGAAACCTATAAAGACTGCTAAAGGAAGTTGTCTAAGACACAGGAGTGGTAGAGGGAGGAAACAAAAAGTCTGTTTCTTCTGATAACATGTCTCATTCCTGCCTGCTTGAGAATGTGGTGATACTCAGAATGTTTTGTGTGAACTCTCAGGGTGAAGGTGAATGGAACAAATGATCAGTTTCTCTCATTTCAGCAATTACCCAAAAGTAATACAAAATCACACAAGCACCTTCTACCAGAAACTAAAAAATATATATATATATATATATATGTATATATATATGTGTGTGTGTGTGTGTGTATATATATATATATGTAGGAACTAGGTTAACAGGATGCAAGAAGCAATGGGAATGAGGCAGGTTGTGGGAAGAAAAGGGGAAAGGATGCTGACAATTGCACTTTTCAGAAAAAGCAGGAAATGACTACAGATTTCATGAGGAAAAGCCAATCTACAAGGGGAGGGGATTTCGCAAAGTACAAAACTAAAAACCCTTTTTAAAATGGGAAGAATAAGCTGTGCGGGTAGGCACTAAATCTGGGCTGGTTCCCAGACCCAGGGAAGGCAGGCTGAATGAGGAACATAATGAGAACAGCCATGTGGGAAGGACGCAGTCGGCCCTTGAGACTGACAGGGGAAGAGACTCTGCACTGCGACCAGTCGGAACGTTGACTTACTTGTTCCTTCGCCTGGAGAAAAATACAGGCTGAAAACTCAAGCAGAGGGCCCTGGAATCTTCCTTATTGGAATCTCCCACAAACAGCTGGTCCGTGCAAAAAAGCAGCCAACACAAGGTCTACACAAAAAATGTTAACAACTGCAAGAAACAATCAGCCCAATTCAAAAAGTGGGCAAAGGACTTGAATAGACATCACGAATCATCAAGGACGATACAA